TCATTTTTTCATTTACATTAATAATATCAGATTACCAAATAAATTTTCCTCTTACACAAATTTCATTTTAAAATTTACTTAGTAAATAGATGTACAGATGATATGAACACTCTAAAAGCCTGGAGGGTAGGATGCGAATATTAAGGTCTGGGAAACACTGGATTAGATCACCTCCGAAGTCTTTGTCCTTGTGCTCACCATTCAACGAATCTGTTGTGCCAGGCTCTGAGGGTAGAGAATGACTACAAACCTTATGTACCCTCAAGGGCCCTGGCTAGGAGATCTAATATTTTTTATTTTACAAAAATAATATTGTCATAATTTTCAATTGTCAAGGCCTAATAGTGTTTAATAAACGTTTTCATACTTTAAAAGGAATCTCTTTAAAAGCAAAGGTACTGAAAATAGTCAAAAATTATTAATGTACAACTATAAAGTGAAAGGTATTTAAATAAAACATGTACCTCATAATAAGTTTTTTATATTTTTAAAAAAATGCCCCTTTTGCTGAAGGCATATCTATAAATCCTGTTTTAGAACTTTCAAAATGAGCTTATGTATCAGAGATAGAAATCTATCTAAACTGAAGACACTAAAAAAATTGAGAGCAATTTAAAGAGAGGGATGCCAAAAAGATGTGAGCAAAGACATAGATCATGAGATTGAATGTGTGGTCTGCTAAACGATTCTATAAAGGAAACTAAACTCACTTGAATTATATTACTTTCATTTCTCTTGGTTTAAAGCCATACTTTGACAAGAGGTGGCTATTTGCCTACCCATGTTTGGCACAGCAGCCTGTGTTTGTCCGTCAAAACCAAGCCAAACTTAGCATATACTAAAATGTGACTCTGTTACCTTCTGAGAAAATGTCACTCAACTGCCATATCTGATGCAACAAACTGAACACCACTAAACTCTAGCCACTAAACTCATAACGTGGGAGTCACGTTAGTGCCTTTTCGTCTCCATTAAATAATTTAGGCGATCTTGTTCAACAAATGTTTACTGAGAAATAACTACGCTAGAGTCTGAAAACACTAAAAGATTTTTTAAAGACATAGTTCTTGACATTTATAGTAGGGAAGACACACATACAAGTAAAAGGTAAATAAATAATTATTTAATTAAAGTAATAATAAAACCATGGGAATAACAATATTTAGAGGTCAGTATGATTCTGTTGAGGGTAAGGTAAGGCCCAAACTGCTAATTACCTACTCAATAGCCTCCTTCCTTACTGATAGAACCCCAATTATACTCCAAGGGTCGCAATGTACCCTGTTAAGCAACATTTCTCAGCCTCCCTTGCAGCTAGAAGGAGTCAAGAAGATAAGCAGGAATCAGTAGGTAAAATTTCCAGGCTCCTTTAAAGGAGCTGACTGAATTGCAAAATACGCCCTTTTGAGTAACCCCCACAGCAATTCTTCTACCTGTCCAGAAAAGAGGAGGAACAGATCAGAAGCAGCCTGGGACAACAAAGATGTTGGGGTTGCCACACAGCCCCTGGCCTGCCTCCTCCAACAGTTATTTTACACGAGAGGAAAATAAATCTTTTGTTTAAATCACTCTTGTTGTGGGGTGCCTGGGTGGCTCAGTCAGTTGAGCGTCCGACTTCGGCTCAGGTCATGATCTCACGGTTCATGAGTTTGGGCCCCGCATCAGGCTCTGTGCTGCCCTCTCAGAGCCTGGAGCCTGCTTCGGATTCTGTGTCTCCCTCTCTCTCTGCTCCTCCCCCACACGCGCCCTCTCTCTGCCTCTCAAAAATAAAGAAAACTAATTAAAAAAAAATGTGTTTTAATCACTCTTGTTGACTTTCCTAAGTGGTCAAATCTCGTCTCCTAGATACAAATGACACAGATATCAATATTAAGGCGATTTTAATAAAGAGACTGCATGTGGAGGATTATGAAAGATGGAGAAAGTTTCCTAAGCAAAGACGGAAGGAAAAGCATGCCAGTCATTTGCTGTTGTTAAAGTTCTTGAATGACGGCAGGCTGTAGAATTGGAGAGGAAGGGGTAATGAGAGATGCTTAGAAAATAAAAACGAACACGACATAGTGATCAGCTAAATGTGGGGAGGCCAGGGACGAGGAGGAGGCTAGGATAACTTTCGGTATTCCAATGTGAATAACTGGAAGATCAGTGGTTCTTCTGAGAGAAGTTGAAGGGGAGACTAAGAGTTAAGATTGAATACACTGAGCTCCAGGGCCTGGAATTCTCAGGTAAGATGAATAGGCTCAGAAGAGAAGTCTGAGCTTGGGGAATCATTCATGTATAATTGCTAAAACTAAGAGAACACACAGAAAATTAATGGAGAGATTTCTCAACTTGGGTTGTGTGTGGGGCAGGGGATAAAACTGGCACTTGAGAGATCAGTTCTTCACCATGTGTCATTTGGTCTTTCTGGCCTCTGGAGTTGGGCAGAAGAAGGGAAGAGAGTTACCTCTACGTGAGAACTACTTGAATACAGTAAGAAAGAATGCAGGTCGAGGACAGAGTCCTGAGGAACAGCAACCGTTATGAGTGGCACCCATGGAGACTGAGGAAGGTCAGAAAAATGGAAGGATGATAATAGACAATTAAGTCTCGAAGAAGAATGGATTTTTATATTAGAGATGTCACAATAGCCTGAAACAGCAATTTAATATGGAGTGCTAAAATAGGAAGGAAGCAAAAGGGGGAGAGGAAAAGAAAAGTCACAAAAAGAAAAGGCAGAAGGAGGACAGAGAAAGGAAGGGGAGAGGAAGGAAAGAAAGAAGAAAAGACAAGACAAAAGGCAGTTCTGGAAATACTGGGAGACTGGAGGAAAACCAGGTGCAACTTGGCAGAGCTGAAAGGGAAACAGTGGCTCCAAGAAAGTGCACAATTCCAGTTTGAGGAATAAGATGGAGTGAATCTTTAAAGAAGTGAGCGCCTACTATCTGCCCAGCTAACAGCATTTATATACATATGTGCAAATCTATCTGTAAGGCACAAATTAAGACTGCTATTTTACAGATCAGGAAACCAAGGTTCTGGGATTAAATACTTTTTCCAAAGTCCCACTGTCAGTGAAGTGGCTGAACTCACGTCTGTATGGATCCATTATGGGCACTTGCTTTTTATTACATTTTGTTCAGTTTATCACATCACCTTCAATTACCTCACTCCCTACCCTAAATAATCTATCCCCCTCAAAGAATTTACTAGGTTTTATTCTCATTCTTTGTTTATCCATTATCTCTGAGTGAAATGCTTTCCCCTCAATACCACACCTAATCCAGGCCCCTCAGCCTCTGAATAAATTCTGTTCAACACTCATCTCATAACCTCTAAGAAATTAACAATAACTCTACTGTGAGTTAGTTCAGCCCTTTATCAGATATTTATCTTTAACTGCATTAATCTTTATTTGTTACACTGTTTCTATACAGGCTCTTCGCTTTAGTTTGTGGACACATCTTCCCAACTAGTTTACCAACACCTTGAGGACACAAGCCATTTATAGTATTTACTTTTTACTCCTTCGTTATAACTCCAGGTAAAACTCCATTATACGAAGCACAAGAGTAAACAGTGCGGTTCATAAATAATATATAAATACATACACAGAAAAACACACATATTTAAAAAGAACATATTTATATTATACATATTTTTCTAAGTGTATGAAGTATTTTTTAAACATACAGAAAGTACTAAAATAACAAAATATAACCCAAGAATACAGCCAAAGATCTATATGATTTAAAAAGAAGGTAGTCTCTAAATAAAGACTGACACGTATAATCATTAAATATGAGGACGATGTTACCAAACAACTTCCTCTTGGATTCAAATATAAATGTCTTTTTCTATGTCTATATATATATAATTCAAGACCAAAACAATTAAGAACCTTTTTTTTTTCAATTCCACAGTAAATCAAGCTACCATTTGTTCTACCTTTCTTTAGGCAGTATATCTTTCATGAAATTATTTTCAGAATTATTTTCAGAACTGTATGAACAAAAGAGCCTAGGTGATTTACACCAGTAAAACTTTCTACTATATGAGAACAACAAAACATTTTCTATAGCTTCACAGGACAAATGTCTGCTAGTTTTGCATAAACATTTACAATGTGCACCATGTGTGGTATGTACCTTTTATCTTGTGCTTGCTCACCAACAACATTGACGTTTACATATACTTGTTCAGTAATAAGATGGCATCCAGGTAAGATTACAAAAATACGATGTGAAATCTATATGCTAAAGGAGACCATAAGTGACCACTTATTTCTTTTTAGCTTTAATTTGCTTTGAGGCAGAACCAGAAATGAGTATTTCCTAAAGGATGTATTTTAGAAGCTGCTTAACATAAAAGAGAGCACCATAATTATACCAGTTTGAGAAATACTGCTTCTGTCTTCTTAGTGATTTCAATCTTTCACAAGTGCTGCTACTGCAAAAAAGAACCTTTTTTTAAAGTTTAATTGAGTGTTTCCCATTTCTGCCACCTGAGCCAGTCGTTGAGTGCTATCTATTGACATCACTTAATAGATAGTTGAGTACTATCTGTTAACACTGACTTCAAATGATTCTCTTCTTCATTTAATCAGGCTACCAAAAAGTCTTGTCAGCACAGTAGTCTTACATGTATTTTACCACGGAAACAATCTCAAGAGGATTTACAGGGAAGTAAATACACTACCTTAAAATAAGGATTAGTAAAATAAATTTAAACATCAATTCTTGTTGAAAAAAAAAAAAAAAACAAGTTTAACATCGGATAAAACCTTATAGCAAAGTAAATTCGGCTAAAATGTAAGGTTCTAGACCTGTTAACTAAAACTGCAGACTCTCTTTTCTGCAAAGAAACAAAAAATGGACACTAAAACCTCAAATTAAATGGGATCAAGAAAACAATACCTCAAATTTAGTCTGCTCTTCCTATTAACATTCAAGCCAATGAAACTTAAAGCATAATCCATAATGTAAATACTATAGCACAGCATTCACATTAATTTTACTTACCAGGTCATATATCTGGTTTGCCAACTGTACCTTCTCATCTGCATCTTCCAAAGCTTTATAGTAATCCTGAATAAAAACATTTTCATTTTAAGAAAAAATTAATAACTTAAAAATATGTGCAGTTAGGACATAAAACTGCATTTTCATTATCATACCCTGTATTCAATGTCAGTCAACCTACATTAGCAATAAAAACCCAGTTAAGGATAGGATGGGGATGGGGTAGGATTAGAAATTTTATACAATGGTCAAGAATCAAAGGAAGATGTTAAGCATTCCTAAAAAAGATATAAGTAAAATTAAATACTATTCCAAGTCTAGCCTCTAAACTAGTAAAAGTTATGTGAACTAATGAATACTCTTTTTCTTTCAAAGAAAACGTTACAATTTATCTAATTTATACTCTCCATTTTTAAATTTTTTTAATAAAAGTATAAATATTGAAAATATTCTGACCTGCATGTCTCTATTTTCCAATTGTTCTGGAACTCTCAGGGTTTTTTTTGTTTGTTTTTAATCTGAGAGAGACAGTGAGAGCGCAAGAGTGGGGGAGAAGGGCAGAGGAAGAAAGAGAGACAATCTTAAGCAGCTCAGTGAGGAGCCTGACAAGGGGCTCGATCCCACGACCCTGGGATAATGACCTGAACAGAAATAGAGAATAGGACACTTAACCAACTGAGCCACCCAGGTGTCTCAGAACTCTCTTAAGCTAAGTATTAATTCCTACAATTCATACAATGTCAATCTATACTTTCGATTTCTCCTCATTTTATAAAGCAAATCATTTAAAAACATAGAAACCATGGACTTTTAGACTTTTAAAGGTATATCCAAGCTGCAGTGCACCAAAAACTTAATAGGTTAAAGGAATAATAACTGACTTGGTGTTGCCCATTTGACCCTTGAACATGGCGGGGGTTGGGATGCCAACCCCCCTGCAGTTGAAAATCCACATAGAACTTCTGACTCCCCAAAAGCTTACCTACTAACAGTCAACTGTTGACTGGAAGCATTTACTGATAACAGAAACAGGAGATTAATGCATGTTTTGCACAAGCATTATATTATTCTGTATTCTTACAATAAAGTAAACTAGAGGAAAAAATGTTATTCAGAATATACTTTTACGGTACTGTTCTGTATTTGTCAAAAAAAAAAAAAAATCCAGGTATAAAGTGGACCCATTGATACAAACCCATGTTGTTCAAGGGTCAACTGTATATGTGATGTCTGTACTCATACACACCTGGGTCTCCAGGTATCCTCCCAGTCAGGACCAATTGTTACAGATTCTAATTTTTTTTCTCCTGACAGAAATAATCTTCCTCCCATGTGGCAAAATAAATAACACAATACACGAAATTTGTAGCTTTCAAATTTCTTTCTCAGTTGATCTTTGATCAATTCTATGAAGGATGGGGATGAAGGAGCCATTATTATTAGAGATATTAAAGAACCTGTCCAATGTCACACAGCTAAACGGAGGTCACGACAAAATGTGGGTCTTTTATGTAGTTCTTCCAATGTATCCCAAATACACTAGGTCATACATTTAAAGCAAAGCTTGGGAGGAGATCTGATACTCATTCTAATCTGGAAGAGACCTGAGAGTACTATAAAGTTAACAAAAACTCAAGGAATTCTGTATTTCTAGGCCCAATTCATACAGAGTTTTAAATAAAAGATTTTTTTAAGGATCTTCTCAACTCTTAAAATTCTGTTCTTTTGTGATTCCACCAACTCAGGTACCTAGCAATGTGTAAAATATGCTTCACGGTGTGCTATTTTTCATACCAGTTTGGGGCCAAAATTAGAAGACAGTATTTTCATCTCTAAACACAAGGTAACTTTAATTACCTGTAAACAGAATAAAACAAATTAAAAGAAAAAAACTGTACTTTTTATGATTCTGTAACTCTCTAAAAAAAGTTGCTAATTTTTATTGCCAAAAAGTTATTAAAAATTCCTACACCTAGGGGTGCCTGGGTGGCTCAGTCGGTTAAAGCATCTGACTTCGGCTCGGGTCATAATCTCGCAGTCCGTGAGTTGGAGCCCCGTGTCGGGCTCTGTGCTGACAGCTCAGAGCCTGGAGCCTGCTTCGGATTCTGTGTCTCCCTCTCTCTCTGCCCCTCCCCTGCTCATGCTCTGTCTCTTTCTGTCCCAAAAATAAATAAAAAAATTAAAAAAAAAAATCCATACACCTAAAGCTCTAAACCACAACAAAATATTTAAATTTTAAAGAGCCACTGGTAACTTTCCCTCATTCTGAGATCCAGAAAACTATTTCATTTTAAAATATCTTTCTCAGAGAGTCCCAGTATTTACTGATAAATCATCCAGAGTGTTGAACATACTTTTTTGATGGATGCCATTTGTTCTTCTCTCCACTCCGGTTTATTTTTCTTTGCATTCATAAAGAATTCACTGACTCTTTGTTCTAGTTGATCCATTGCATCTATGACATAATAAAAACATTTCATATTTAGATGACCAAATTCATATACTGAATATACATGCTTTGATTTGGGGAAAGAAAAAAATATCTGACAACATACACTCTTTCACTTGGCCAATAACTTAAATATGTCATGCTTTGATTATGTAAATGCTTTACTTTAGAAAAAAATAACAATTTTCTCTACTCACAATTTATTTTTGTTATTTCAAAAATTTTCCAGTCATCAAAGGAGTCGACTACATAGGTAAGTTCTGTACGACAGTATTTCAATAGTACAGCCTTTGGATCAAAAGCTAATGGCATTAAATCAGCCAAATGTGCCAAAACACAATTTCTCATCGAAAGTACCACTAGAGGGGTGCTGGGTGGGTCAGTTGGTTAACTGTCTGTCTTTGCCTCAGGTCACAACCTCACAGGTTTTTGGGTTCGAGCCTTGCATCAGGCTCAGTGAGACAGCTCAGAGCCTAGAGCCTGTTTCAGGTTCTGTGTCTCCCTCTCTCTGCCCCTCTCCTGCCAGCACTCTCTCTCTCTCTCTCTCTCTCAAAAATAAACAAACATTAAAAAATTTTTTTAAAAAGCACCAGTAGATAATCCTCCCATTTCTTTCTTTCTTTTTAAGTTTATTTATTTTGAGAGAGAGCAAGTGTGTTGGGGGGGGGGGGGGGAAGGGCAGAGAAAGAGAGAGAGAGCGAGAGAGAGAGAGAGAGAGAATGAGAGTCTCAAGCAGGCCCCACACTGTCAGTGCAGAGCCCGACCAAAGTGGGGCTCGAACTCACAAACTGTGAGATCATAACCTGAGCCGAAACCAAGAGTTGGAGGCTTAACCAACTGAGCCCCCCAGGCACCCCTACATTTCTTTTAATAAGAAAAAGTAATAAAAAGATTTTAAACTCTCACTATATGCATTAAGCCCCCGATTGTCTCACATCATGACTGAAATAGAGGGTACAATCATTTATTCACTTCATACACTATATTATTTATTCTAGACGTTTTTCTCTAAGCCTATGCCAAGAATGGTCATCTCATTCCATGTCTGCTAAAAAAGGAAAAGTTAAAAAAAAAAAAAAAAAGGGAGGGGTGGAATCTGTTGCTATGTAAGTTGAGGAAAACCTTTTGGAGATTTTCAGGGCATAATAGGTTTTTAAAGATTCTAAGAAGTCTTGCAGTTAATTTTTTAAAAGAATTTTCCTTTGTCTAAGCATTTTCTAACTTCAAGTTAAAATGAATTTTGTGAGCAAGTCAAAGAAATACACAATTCAGACTTCTACACTACAATCCACCAAATAAAAGAAAGCTTCCATATCTTATCACCTTGTATTAAGTGCGGCCACATGAAACTGACAAGAGGCTGAGAAAAGTATATTCATGAACAATGGTGCGGAAGGTGGAGAGGGGCAGAGAGACAAGCGAGGAAAAGTACAGGTCCTTAGCTACCTCAAGGAATGGTTGGTTCTCTGATCTCTTTCCACAATACCCCTTTTCTCCCAATCATATCCCAAAACCCAGGTCTTCCTTCACCTCTACTTTTAAAAAAACAAAAAAACATGGGCAGCATGAGAAACATTTCATGTGTATAGCCTAAATATCACTGGAATAAACGGGATCAAGAAACCTATTTTTTGAGGATACACCCCATGAAGGCCAGCCGGCCATTATTATCACTTATACAATTTAATTAAGGAATAGCTGAATTTCTCCAAAGCGGGAGAAACATCCAGCTATAAAGGTACACCTAATTATATACTTTAATTAAGTAACATATAATTCATTTCGCATTCTTAATTTGTAATATAGTATGTCTACAAGATAGTTAGAACAGCTATATTATACGCATTTCATAAAAGGGGAAAGTTCATGAGGTTCATTCAGAGCATGGTGGACATAAATTTGTACTTAAGTGTAATGTTGCTCTAAGTATTTACCTTATCTCCAAAGACACTGATTCTTTACTTTCTTTGAATTGTAAACCCTTTTTTAGAAACTCCACAGAAAAAAAAAAATGATCATATAAACCACATACTGCTCTGTGAAAGAACAAGGTTAATTTTGGGAAAAAGTAACCAGACTACCAAGCTACCACTGATAGAAAAAAAGTCAAAATTTTTATTACAGCAGATAAGAAGCTTTACAGTAAAATCTTATTTCCCTCACTTTGAGAAAATATCATCCTGTTGACAATTGAGAATGTATCCTATAATGTGTAACTTTCCAAAATTTGACATTCCAAGTTCACCAGGGTCACTAAAGAACCACATTATCACCTATGCTTCTGTTTTCCGCTCTTGAAAATTTTTGAATAGAACTTTAACAAAAGTATAAATGCTGAAATCTATGTTCCATACATAAGGGCTCAAGTCAAAATCTTCTCAACATTTACACCGATGTGCATTAAAACAGGTATCTACGTCCTCACTGAAGGTACAGAAGCTTTTATTGCAGAGTCTCGAATTCGAGAAGAAACAGATACACGTGCCCTAATGCCTCCTTCTCTTGTAAAAGCAAGGAGAAAAGTAGCGTGGAAAGCAAGAGGCAAGATTAGGCACTGCCTTTTCTTTTTCACAACTCCTTATCCACTAGCCAGTGAGCCGGAGGAGAGTCAAATAGCGGAGGCGATGAAGTCGATGGCAGGGAAGTCTGGACTGAACGCGCGCGGCGAAGAAGGGCAAACGCGCCGACTTACTCTGCACCTGCAGGTCCATCTCGCGCATCTCAGTGAAGCGGTCCCGCAGGTCCATTGGAAGCTGTTCAATCACTGTCAAAGGGAGAGTCCGTCAGAGGGGCGGGGCCAACGGCGAAAGTACGCGCTTACGTCAGTGCGTGCGTGCGTGCGTGCGGGGGGGGTCGAAGGAGCCGGCAGCCCACAGCGAGGCTGCCAGTTACCGTGAGAAAGAAACATCCCCCGCCTCCCCCTCCCTCCCGCCATCCCGCCTCCCCGTCCACTCGCGCTCTTGCCCGCCCGCAGGTCCCACAGACGGCCCCTGCCAGCGCCGCCCACTCACTTTCCAGATAGTCCTCTAGGTACAACATCGCGGCCCTTAGAGCTGGGGGAACGAGGGGGTCCAGGGGTTTATTTGTGTCACTCGCTGTCGCCGGAGTTTTGTCCCTTCCAATATGGCGCCTCCGCTAGCAGCACCCGCTCAGCTTCGGCGGAAAAAAAAAAAAAAAAAAAGAAAAAAAAAAACCACTTTGGCGCCTGACGGCGCTTGCCTCACTGCCGCCCGGAGCTGTCATTGGTTGGCTGAAGCAATGACGTAAGCCGACCGGAGCCCGCCCCCGTGCCATTGTGGGAAGTGTAGTTTCATTCCCTCCCAGCAGTTATTAACGTGCTGGCAGTTCCTCATGTAGAAACTACAAAAACCAGGCGTCCTTGCGAATGGAGCGCAACAGAATCTGAAATGCGGTGCCTATGTTTATTTGTTGATTTTTTGCACAGGGGATGACGGGAGTTGTATGCGCCTGCAGAACACAACTAGGAACAACTTTTCACCTGTTCTTTACTGCTATGATTCCATACCCTAGCGTTTGTGAGTCATAGATTTCAGATAGTGCTAGGCAAATAGAAAATGTTCCAACGCTAGAATAATCAGCAAAGTTCGGGCGATTTGGATTGTTTAAAACAGAACTCTCTGTTGGAATTTATCCTTAGTATCCACTGCTAAAAATATAAATGGGACTTTTGGTTGGCTTCCATGTAACTAAAATAGTGTACACTAAGAATATGGGGTGAATATGAATTTCCCATATTAAAAGATGCAAAAATAGCCCTTTATAGTCTCCTACACATTTTATTTTGCGGTCTGTCTCACTGTCATGGTAATGTAATTGAACTATACATAGAACCTGCACCCACAGAAAAGAAGAAATAGTGAACAAGTAGAAATAACGGATGAAAACTTAATATCTAAGGACTGTTCTAATAATCACTTTAGATTACGTTGAGTAAACAGCCTGTATTAGATGTCTATAGTCCTGGGTGGTGTCTATTTCTACCTTTTGACTCCTCCCCGCACATGCTCCACCGTGATGTATTTAGTCTTTCACTGCTCAGTTTTCTTTTTCTTAAAAACGTTCGCACTCAATAAAGGTTGGATTTTGTTCTTTTCCACCTGTCTTAGCTCTATCTGTTTTTGAGGGAAATTTGTCTTTAGTTCATAATTTAATGTTCTATTTAAATATTTTTCAGATTGGAGTTGAAACATTTTATGCATTTAAGTTTTCTGCTTTCCCCCTCCTTCACATTTTCTTATACTCAAGATTTTCACCGATCTTAATCAGGATACTTACCTGTCATTTTGATGAATGTCAAAGGAAACTTACCTCAGTTCTAATAATTAACTAGTTTACTTTCTGTACTTTTATCTAAAATCTGGTGCTTTCAGTCTTCCTCCCTCCCACATTCCTTTCCTTCCTTCCTTCCTTCCTTCCTTCCTTCCTTCCTTCCTTCCTTCCTTCCTTCCTTCCTTCCTTCCTTCCAGCTGCTTTTAAGATCTCTTAGATATTTTTGCAGATATTTTTGCAGTTTCTCAGGGGTGAATCTAGGTTTGTAGTTTCTTTCTTTCTTTCTTTCTTTCTTTCTTTCTTTCTTTCTTTCTTTCTTTTTCTTTCTTTCTTTCTTTCTTTCTTTCTTTCTTTCTTTCTTTCTTTCTTTCTTTCTTCCTTTCTTTCTTTCTTTCTTTCTTTCTTTCTTTCTTTTCTTCTTACCGTTCAAAAAAAATTTAAGCCATGCTTAGGATTTGAAAGGATTGCTGAATCTCAAGATTAATGTCCTGTAATGATTGTAGAAAATTCTCAACAATTTTCTCTTATGTGTTGCTTGTTTTCCATGTTCTCCATTATCTTTTAGAACATCTATGAGACACCTCTAAGACTTTCTCACTTTATCCTCCATTTTTTGGTCTTTATTTTATATGGTTCATCTCAATATTTTCAGATAACTTTTAATTTTTACAAATTCTATTTGATTCTTTTTGAGCCATTTTCTAATTTCTTATACATATTAAACATCACATGAACATCAAACAACCTATATTCTGTATCTGTTACATCCCAAACTGGACGTTTTATGGATCTTTTGTGCTGTTTCTTCTAGCTTTTGCTCATGGTGCCTATTTCTTTGTGGATTGTGATTTTGGATTCTGCACTCATGTTTCTAGGGTTGTAACTGTCAGAATTATCGGAGGCCAGAGTTAAAATTGAGTTTTCGTAGACAGTATTGGAATTTGCTTCTGCAAAAACCTAGGACCAGATTAAATTTTTCACTTAAAGTGTATTGGGCTGCACAGATAGATTTCATTTGGCCTCAGATCCAAATGGCTTGGATTTGATTCTCAGAGGACATTCCCAGAAGAGACTTTGTCTTTCTTTCCTGGATTCCAAGGTCAAGTCAGCCATCAGATTTCTGACAAGTCAGAAATCTGACTTATGCATCAGATTTCTTCCTCATTCACCCTTACACTGGGAATGTAGTCCTTTAGGGCTTCAGATATTTGCCCCCCCCGTTAGATTCCTCCTTTTAGATGGGTTCTTGGCTTTATTTCCTGACACTGGCATGCTGCACAGCTACAAAAGCAGGAGCTGTAGGTGTCCAGAATTTGACAGATAATCTCTTGACAAAATCCCACTTTGGCCCTCACTTATTTTTCAGGATACTCTCATTTTTCTTCTTTTTTTCTTTTGTTCCTTTCTGAGTATTCCTTCATTTCCTACCTGTTCATCAATGTATTTGATATATATTTTTTTAACCTAGCAGTTTTCAGCAGGTGTTTTTTCAGAATAGCTAAAATAGCATGCTATGAGAAACAAGAGAAATAGAAACTGAAGTCTGTCATTTTAGTGAAAACTGAGCTTCTTCAGGGAGTTTTCCATTTTAGGGAAAAATTAAATAATAGGAGGATCCCAGTTCATTCAATATACATACATACTTCAGAAAAACCAAAACATAATAAAACTTACATGCTATGTATTTTAGTTAACGAATGTAATCCTCATTTATGGACCATGTATCACATGCAGAAAATTATACATGTACACACATACGATAGTTTCTTACATCATTAGACTGTATAGTAGTTGCTACTTTGGCGTGCCTACCCACTCACAACCACTACCGTGTTTTTTGGCAGTGCTCTTTATATACAGGGGTGATGGTATCAGGACTACGTTATTGTGCTCTCTGATCCTTGCTCACTAATTTACCAGGGATGGACCAAAGCTGGGCCTATTAGATGCACTCTCTTGGGATCTGAAATTGGGAATGAAGAGACTTGGAGACTGAAGGCATCGTGGCAGATCTGCAGCACAATAAATACATGGTCCACAAGCTTCTGCTGCTTCTCCTTGCTTTCTCCCCCCCCCTTTCTCTGTCACTTTCTCATTAGTCACTAGTTGTATGACCTTGAGAAAGTTATTTTAACACTCTGTCTCCCAATTCCTCATTTGTAAATGGAAATAACAATAGTAGCTAGTATTAGAGGGAAATAATACTGTCTATGCAAAGCACTTAGGTTGATGCCCAGTGAATGGTATGATGCAATAAATGTCAGCTTCTATTACCGTCCTCAATGAGTCCCCACCTAAGTTACTCAGGTTGTAGATGCTCCTTTGTGCTTCTCTGAATTTTGCCTCGTGCCCCTGTTTATTTTGTGGCTGGGCACCACCTAGAACTCTAGGATTATCTCACCTCCAACTGTTGTAATGCCACTGTCATGTGAAATTCAAAGGAGAAGTGATGTGGGGAGGGTTATATCAGAGTACTACTTAAAAGTGGATGCAAAATACGACTGTTACCGAGTCTAAGAGAAAGGAAATTTTAAAGCCTTCATATAGCATGTTTTCAGGCAGACCTTTGCCTTACGTCTTAAGATTCTGCCGCTTCTGTATCTTATAAAGAAAACTCCATCCTCAAATCTTCATAGTAAAACTTTGAAATAAAATATTTTCTTAGCTTTGGGCCAAGTAGTGTATCCTCTCTGACAGACTTCTGTAATATGGGAAGAAAGCAACTAAAATTCTGTCTTTACATGAATGACTCTAATTTTACATCTTTTAAAATCCATTGAGTCACTCACTGGATCAGTTATAAGCAGCAGGATAATAGCCTTCACTTTGAGTATCTCTGGATGTTTCCAGCCTTTCCTACTCAAAATACCCACTAAAACAACTTCTAGGGAAGGTTCTAGTTTCCTGACCTTGTTTGTGGGTGTTTGCGATAGAGAATCTGGAGAAGAAGGGAGAAGGGAAGAAGACAACAGGGGATTAATGGGAGAGTGGGGGTTCAATGGATGGGAGAAGGAAGATATCGAACAGGGTGACGGAGAGATAGATATGAAGCTGTTATAAAACCATTCCCTCCAAACAAAGGGAAGTTTGAGATAAAAAATAAGAAAAAGCTTGAAACTAAGAGAATGAAATCCTCAGGTGCCAGAAGTGAAAAGTAAACTCAAAGTCGCAGTAGTGAACAGGAGCTGGAGCTGAAGGAGTAGAGGGTTTATAGGCCTTAACTGTTGGGTCTTGGGTTCTGACTATAGCAGAATGAAGACACTGCAAATTTTGAAATGAACTTCTAGACCCAGGGTGGAGCTGGGGTGCCATGTTAGCAAACTGAAACTCGGATGATAATTGTCACATCCCTGTAAATGTTGCGCTTGATCAGAAATGCATTATCTTCCAATCAGCCAATCCCCAGATGCCAAGTTAATTCTAGGCTTTATACTTACTTTCTTATTCTTTCTCATGTGAAGGAAGGTTGACTCCTTCCTTCCTGAAGGAAGGTGTGGCTCCAGCTACTCAGATATTTTTATTTTTTTCTTCCTTGTTCTTTATTCTTTATCCTATAAAATCTTCCTGCTTTCTACCCCATTTTGCAGTTCTCTGAAAGGAGACTGTCCACTTTGTTGAAGTGTTACAGTTTTTTTGCTTTTTGCTTTTTGTTTTGTATCATCTAAATTACCTTCTTTAATCTTTTTGTAAACACAAGCCTGGGGTCATATACTTGTAGGGAAACTAAAGATAACCATCTTGCAAAAAGCCAGCAATCTCAACAGACTGCTTCAGTGAAACCGACTGGGGAAACATCAAAGAAGCCACCCACCCATCTAAAATCAAGGGAGAGAAGGCAGCCCAGAG